GTATCAATCCAATTTCCGATACCAGCCCAGCAGCTTGAAGAGCTACATGCAGCTGGTGAGTCTAGTGTGGTGGAAGAGGAGAGGGGGAAGGGAAGGGCCCCCACAGTGAGGGAGATGTGGGAATAGGACTGGGGCAAGTGTTGCCCAACCAGGGCAGGGTGGGTGGGGGGATGGAGCAGCAGCTCATCCTGGGAAGCAGCTCCTGCCGCTGCGCGCTGCATTTTTTAAAGATCTTTTAAAGCACAGTATAGATCAGGGCTATCCAACTTCTGGGCTGCCAAGGACCATGTGCTCCATGGGCCATGTCCAGGAGCAGCAAACTATGTGGGCAGCACCTTCACCTTCCCCCTACCCCAGCACCAGGCTCTCCTTCACCAAATGGGCAGCCCAGAACATGCCCCCACCCCATGCAGCATGTACAACCAGCAACCCTTTCCCACTGTGTTGCCATGCCTGTAGAGTGGGGACAGAAGGCAGAAGGAACAGGAGCTCAAAGAAGCCAGCTGCTGTAGCACAAACAATGGTGCAAGTGGCAGGGACCTCAGACAGTGGCAGGGAGACTGCAGGCCACATGCAACCCACAGGCCATCAGTAGGACAGCCAGAGCTGACACGAGCAGGGTGCGGGGCCTGGGGCAAATCAGCCCATGCGGAGCCCCGCTCACGCTCCAATCCCATACGTCCCAGACCCAAAGAAGCTGCTGTCACCACTGGCAGCAGTAGCATTGGGGGGTGGAGGGGGATAGCAAGCAGCTGGATGTGAAGCAAGCCATGGCAGCATGGAGCTGTCAGAGCCACTCCACCCAGCTCCACAGGGCCCTGCAAAGTGCAGGGCCTGGGGCGGTCGCCCCAATTCACACCCCTCTAGGGACAGCCCTGCAGACAGCCTCATGTCCACAAAAAGGTGCAGAGTTTCAACACTATTGTTAAGAGAGGTATAGCCCAAGTGTGTTTTTTAAATCACGTTTGGCATCTAAAACAATTATCAATCACTCACCTGGCACGACATTAGCCCCTACCTTAAGGGTTACAAGCTCCTCTTCTTCTGAAAATCTGCATAAAAGTATAATGGCAAACCCAAGTATTTGGTTGGCTATTTCTCTAGGAAACTCATTTAAATTGATCTCTCCGTGGCTTAAATGGTCTCTCACACGTGGACCCTCTTGATGGTTCAAGAAATCCCAAAGAAATTCCTAGGAAAATGCAGGTGAATACAGCTATGCATACAACAGCATGATTCTACCAAAGCCCCAACAAACAAGCAATTCTTGAATCATAAAAGACTTTTAGAATTATTTGAAATGGAGGAGAGGGGCAGGAGGAACACCTCAAACCTTGCTTTAAAAAAAAAAAAAAGGCAGCTCTGCTCTCTTTGAAGAAGTCTGATCAGATCCAAAAAATAACCGAAAAGACTTACCGGTACTTTAAATATCATAGTTAACCAAATACAACATTACTCTGGCAGATAACTAAGAGCGATAAATAAACAGTGAAATGTGTACAGCAGCATGATTAGCATTAGAGAGAAGGACTATAAACACAACAGCCCCTTCCAATAAAAACTACAAATGAAATGCAATCCTAAAGGCAGTCTGAGTCTCTTAAAGCCAGGAGGTAGTGCCAGCTCCCTGAAAAAAAATGATTCTTGTAAATCCTGATTCCTTTCCTTCCACGCTATTTTATGCCGAGGAAACTAATTTTGTGTTAATGTCTATTTTGCCCCTTTCAGATTTAAAAATCATGAACTTTAGATTACCAGCTCTGGGGAGTTGGATTCACATCTAAATTACATATTAACCATTCAGCACCATCATAAATTTGCTACTGTATAAAAAAGCCATTTTTTTTTATTTTAGCCAATTTTTTAAAATGAAATCTTCATATTTTCCCAAGCAGGAAGCAACTGTGACCACCTGAAACCTGAGATCCTGCTCCTGCCTTTGTTTCAAGGTAATCTGCATCATCACAGGAGAAGAGAGGCTCCATACCAGCTATGAACTGACTGCCCAGAGGAGTTTTCCATCTATTAACTCCTCTGTGAAATCCTATGAAATATGACCTTTCATTTCTACCCAGGAGAACTTTTACAATCTTTTCTCCAACGCCTGATGAAGGGTGCTTATGCTTGAAAGCTTGTAATTAAAGGAATTTTTTTGCAAAAAATCTTGTTGGTCTAATAAAAGATATCATCTCTACTAGGAGTCCTGATTGCCTACTGAATAAGCAGCATTTAACAGCAGCAGCAACACAAAGACAAACATACCACTGCTGGTTCTCCAAGAATTAGAGGAAGCTGATTGATCTCTTCATCCGTCAACTGTTTTGCCAACATCTTTAAAAAACCAACAAAATAAAACAAGGTCCTTTGAAACTGAAAAGCTTACTATAAAAGAAAGCTACAGTGAAAAAGCCAATGAAAAAATATGAACCTGCATCAAAGATACTGCCAAATCTCCAGCAGCAAATCCATTGATCGTACTTAATTCTGATAGACAATGAGATCCAGTACAAGCCATTAATGACACCCTCAAGTAAAGCTGTCAGCTGTTTAAATCATGCAACTGGCACGAGTCATTTGTCAGATGCCATTGATTTCACCACTTCAGACTATTTAACCATGCAGGCTAATTTGTGGGGGAACAGCTCTCAGAGTTGTCTGCCCTTTATTAAGGCTCTTGACACCCTTGAAACTGAAAGGACCTCAAATAGACTGATGCAACTTTAAAAGGGGAGGGGTTGGCTGTCACCTCCTAGGAGCTGCACCCTCATGCTCCTCCAGAGATAAAGTGAACTAAACTGTAGTAACTTTGGGCACTTTTACCCATACTCTGGGGGTGGGAGGGTGGTGCTTTAATTAGAGCAGCTCTGAGAGCTGCTCTAAATAAAATGCCACAGCATCTTCTGCATCACC